CCATTGTCCAATTGAATGATTTGAGAAGCAGCGGGCCTTCTGTGGTGGTCATGACCACATGTTTACAGTTGGTGAACAATGTAGGAGAAACTGGTGTTGCTCAATTGCTTAGCAGGACCAACGGGCTCCCTGTAGTTAGTATTTATAGGCCCGACGAGAGACAGCAGGTTGTCAAACTGTCCCCGAGTCATCTTAAAATATGCCTGGAAATGTCCATAATGGGTGCAAAGCTCTTGGACCAACTGGTGATACCCCGTGATCCACCCTCTTTTTTAGGGTCTCATGTACCCACACAGATCTCCGTTTCCCTGTGCCCAACAAACTATTTACTGAGAGCCTCTCACCCTCAACCAGAGCTACAGCAAGTACCCTCTGCCTCAACATTTTAGGAACAAGACACTGAGAAATAAATAAACTGTTGACTCATTACACAGGAAGGTTAGGGTAAGGAGGTGATGGGGTGGCTGCCTGGTAACAATAAAAAGTGCAGCTAGTGTTTTACTAGTGGCATTCAATTTAAAGAAAAGAAAAAGCAGTGTGGTGCGCCTCACATTTTGCAACCTGCAAAACGCTTTCTATGTGATTGGGACCAAGGAGCAATCGGCAGGACTGTGACCCACCACGGGTAGATTTAAAAAGCTAAGTTAGCAGCTAACTTCAAAGACGAAGAACAGCAGCCAAAAATTGGGGAAACCGGGAGCTCTTTACCATCCATGCAGAAGATGAGATCAAGTGCCGTATTACAGGTCAGTAAATGATTGTTATTGCCATGTTATGCCATTGTCATTGCTTATAGAGCGCCGCCGATCCGCATGTTATATATGTATTACGTGTCATGTTCATAGGGGTCCTGTAGCGCAGTCTCTGTGTAAAAAGGGCTGGCAGGTTTTCTTTAACTTTAAATGTAATTCAGTTGAAAAAGAAACAAAAAATATAAATGCAAAAAAATGGATAAATAAATATAAACATGGTACAAGAGGAGAGGAATGGCAGAGATGGCTGATGACAGGGTTGGCTGATGGACTGCAACAACTTTTAGCAGCATGCATGGGAAAAAAATTAAACATAATGGGGTGTAATTTATTTCTCACTTTTTCCGTGATGGTCTGAATAAGTCACTGAAGTTGTCGCTGGTCCCTTTTAAGAAATGAAGTCACTAAGAGGGTCTGAAAAGAAATGAATCTAGCGAGAACGACACCAAGTTGGCAACACTGAGCACACTGCTGTAAAGGAAAGGGGTCTCTGGATTTATAACACAAGACAAATCTGCAGCATCATTGTGAAAAAGAATGCAGCATAATAATCATCTTGTTTTAATAATCATTGGAAGCCAAAATCATAATTTAAAATCAAATTCAATTAATTGCTACATTATGTAATGTTGAATAGATTCATGTAGACTACTCCCGAGTATTAATATTCAAGTAGTAGTTGAAGCTTCCATCCCTCTCTCATGTTCTTATCACGTCTTCTCTCTGTTCCCCCAGCTTCACATTACAGCAGCATGATGGAGAACGAGGGCGTGACTGAACTTCTGAGGGCTCTGGCTGCACATCCTGACACACACGACGACATTAAAGGACTGTCAGGCAGCATCTTGCACATGGTAGAGCAACTCCGGAGTCACTCGGGGTCCTCCAACGACCAAGTGGGGCCTGGAAACTCTTGACAGAAGTGCAAAGACATTGATTTCATTTGTTTATTTTCAAATGAGCTGTGCCTAAAATGTGCTAAACATGAGGTTGCAGATACAGTGTTGGAGCACAGACAGTTCATGTCAGTCATCTGGGAATGAAAGTTTAATGGAATGAATTAATTTTATATAGAGAGTATGATCACAGGTTGTGAAAGGTTTTCCTGTCATCATCTAGTTTAAAGGTCCAATGTGTAAGATTTAGGGGATTTATTAAGTGGAATTAGTGGTGAGGTTTTCAGATTCCAACCAACTTTCCTAGCTATAATTCCTTCAGTGTTGGTTTTTTAGGTTTTTAATCAGGAGCCACATTATCCACAGAGGTCTCTTCCTCTCCAAAACAGACAGATCTGATGATTTAAACTACTAAAAACACTGATCACAATCACAATCAGTATTTTTTCAATGATGCTCATCGTGGATGGGCTGCTAAATGTGACTGGCCCTATCTGGAGCCAGTGTTTGGCTTGGCGAGCTCCATGGACAAGGACCCACCCCCTATGTAGACGTAAACGGTTTATTCTAAGGTTAAGAAAATACAACAATTCTGATTCTCAACTGATTATACACTAAATAAAACATAACATTATATTCCATATCTGCCAGTATATCCCCCTAAATCTACACACTGGCCCTTTAAATCTGCTGATTTAGTTTAAAAACACTTAGAGATACAAACTGTTTACAGGCAGCAGTGAAAGCATATTTGCACTATTCTGAGGTCAAATTACTGTCAAGTTGGAAAATGTCTGACCTCATTAAAGTGTTGCAGAAGTTAGAGACTAAGCTTGTGTTGTGAATCATGCCTAGACTCAGAACCTGTCACTAGAGGGTGCTTTGGTACTGCAGCTTCAGGGCTGTTCTGCCTTTAAGGTCTGTTTGTGTAAAATATTCAGTCATCAGATGTTTACATTCAAGATCATGTTCCTGTGTCTGTACTGAGGGCCTCATTATAAAGCAGTCATGCTGGAAAATAAGTTCTCTTTCCCCCTCTTCCTCTTCTGCTCCCTCTCCCCTCTGGTATCTTAGATGCTGAATTCATTATATTTTATGTAACACACAGCTGGAAGACAGAACCGCTTGTAGGCATCCACAGAGTCTATTCTAAGTTGGCCTATTAATAAATCCTTTTGAAAAGTGGATTAACAACCTCTCGTGAATATTTTAGTTGTACCACCGTGTTCAACTTTTAAGTGTCAAATCCCCTTAATTCACATTTTTAAATCCCCCAGAGAAATTCAAAGGGATCTGCTAAATAGAATATGGCTTTTCGTGCTCGTGATTCATCCAGGTTAGTCATCTCCTTGCCAGTGGTAGGCTGTAAGTGCTGCGTAAACTGATCCAGGATCAGCATTTAACTACCGCTTCAACCCCTAAACATTAATGTTGCAGTCCTGTGGGATCAGAGGTCGCGTGCTCCGTAGTGAACATGGTGTAATGTTACTGTGAGAAGTTCAAGTCGAGAGTCATGTGGGAAAATGCCACCGCCCTCCAGGGGCTGTAGGTTACTCTGTAGCGTGTATGGTGACTGCACGTGAGGGGCGAAGGCGAACAAAGGAGCCAAAGGGTAATAGTGGCGTGCAATGCGTTAATCAGGTCTTAAGTTTGTGGTTCAAAGAGCCTATCAATATTCAAGTGACACACGAGACAGAGACAGGCTGAAAGACTGTATCAGATAGACAGAGGAGGAAACAAAGGAGGAAAGAATTGTCAGAGCTCGTGCCCTTATTCGTTTTCTTGCAGAGGGTTAGAATAGTAGATTGATACCACTCTCAGGTTTGTACGCTAAATATGAAGTTACAACTAGCAGCCAGTTAGCTTAGCTTAGCATAAAGACTGGAAACAGGAGCACATGTTCCCAGGGTCCTGTGTCCCTAAGCTCAGTATCTTATTAATATGACTCATGAAAGAGAGCTTTCAAAGGGCTTTATGTTCTCAGCAATGATTTTCCCCAGGCCACATGTTCTATGTATGTTTCCCTGGGTCAGTATATTGAAATCACCCACCCACAGCATCTTACAGCTAACTGATGTAATACTCCTTGAGACCTACACCCTTAAATTTGTGAGTATCAGAGATTTCTTGACTTAAACACTGATGTCTCCAAAGTGACTTAGCAGATTTTTACCACTCAAACGGCACATAAAACGTCCATATCCCTTCTTTTTCATTTTGAACTGCGAAGCTAGCCCCTACCACTCGCTGACAACATTAGTTTATATCAGGAGACATAGGACCCTGGGAACATGGGGATGACCCAGAAGAAACAGCTAGCCTGGCTGTCGAGCGGTAACAAAATCCACCTACCAATGCCTCCCCATGTCGTGGGATTTTGTGATAACCACACATTATTATTGCAACATTCAACTGGGCCTATACAAAAAATTATGAATGATTTTTTAATTGACTGTATCAGTATGTTGTGTGCACCCATTTCCAAATAAAGAGGCAAGCTCTGGCTAAAAAATGTAATTTAATTTAAATTAATATAAAAAACCTTCACGGAGAACCTATTTGCTGCAATGGGCGTGTGGGAATTTTAAGTGTGTGACACATCTAAAGCCCTGATTGGCAGCCAGTGAGGGATGATAACCTTTAAAGGAGAGAGCAGTGAGTTGGACAATGGATTGCTTTAATTGTACAGAGCAAATTATAACAAAGCACTAGCGAAGATGACCTACCACTGAAAGATAAGAGAAAAAAATTTCTTATTTTTATTTTCTTATGTCATGATAAGAGTGATAACACAGTTTCTTCACGAATTATACACACATTTTTTTGGTGGCAGTGCAGTGATTAGCATTGTCACCTCACACAGTAAGAGGGTTTCTGGTGGTTCTGATGTGTCAGAGTTTGTTTCCTCCAGGTACTCCAGCTTCCTCCCACAGTCCAAAGACATGCAGGTTAACTGGTGACTTTAAATTGTCCGTAGGTGTGAATGTGAGTGTGAATGGTTGTCTGTCTCTATGTGTCAGCCCTGTGATAGTCTGGTGACCTGTCCAGGATGTACCCTGCCTCTCGCCCAATGTCAGCTGGGATAGGCACCAGCACCCTCCCCGCGACCTCTAACAGGATAAGCGGTTACGGAAAATGAATGAATGAACTTTGTTTTTCTCGCATGCCTCCACAGTGAATGAAGAATCAAAAAATGTTAAAGATTCTTGATAAATTAAAGTCATAAAGGGTCCATGTTGAACAGCAGCATAACTACACTGAACAACAGATTAAATGCATTCAGTTAGATTACACTCAAAATGTCTCAGACGTTTTCCTTTTCCAAGATCATCTATTCACCTGACAGGTGTGGCACATCAGGATGCTGATTAAACAGCATGATTACTGCACAGGTGTGCCCTGTGATGGTCCCAAAAACAGGCCACTCTAAAGTCTGCAGTTTGATCACACAACACAATGCCATAGACGTTGCACGTTTTCAGTTTCACTTGCAGGTCAGTTCCCCGCCAGAAAGGGCCATCTATGTGGTAAGTACTGAGCATTCGACTGGATGAATGAGACATGGATTAAATTGCATGAGTTGAAGTTTGTCAATGTTTTGATAGTTTTGCTGTTTTTAAACGTGGACCTCTTTTACTCCAGTTCATCAAGAATGTTCTCCAATTTTGGATTCTTTGTTCACCATGGAGGCCTGCAAGAAAAACGCAGAGTTCTCCACAAATTCAAAGTACAATGGGGTAAGTAACTGACATAGAAATGGTCATTTGGGGGTGAAGTATTCCTTTAGACTGTAAATATAGGGGAAAAGCTGGCTCTGTCCAAAGGTAGCAGAATCCATATACCAGCACCTCTAAAGCATCAGCATGTTAATATCTCATGTTCATTTCACATAAAAATCAGTATAAACACATCAAGTCACTGCTACTGGCCCAGAAATCCTCAGACAACCCTTTGTGAAAGGGTGAATAGCACCTTTTTGTGTTGTTGTTTAATATAGTTTTTATATGGATTACACAAACAAGATATTTTGTGTGAATCAGTGAGATGTAGAAGTACTGGTAAAGGATTTCTTAGCCTTGGATGAAGCCAAACTTGCTGTTTCCCAGTCTTAATGCTCAGAATCTGCTGGCTGCATCTCCATATTTACCGTACAGACACGATAGAGTGGCATCAATCTCCTCATTTAACTCAAGGTAAAAAAGCAAATACACATACTTTTCATAATGCCAGACTCCTCTATTGTGAGAGCAGACAAATACGCACCTGCAAAAATATAAAAAAGATCGAAATAGAGATGTCTGAAGGGAAACTGACAGGTGCAAAAATAGGATTTATGACCAAAAATATCTCCAGACGAGATAAATAAAGCATGAGAGGGATAAAGAGAGACATGCTGGAGATAAGAGGAGCAGAATGAGTCAAAGGAAATTAAAGACCCTTTCATGCTCCACGAGAGTTTGTGCAAAAATACCCCCAGACCAATTTACAGATTCCCTGTCTCAGTTTGAAATATAATTGTGCTGCTTTTGAGTTGGAGCTTAGTGTGAGTAAGCATCTCGTTATCTCACTTCTGCAGCCAGCTCTATTGGATTAACATAATCGTGAACCAGTCTGGGCACCCTAGAATACACTCGTGTACAATGCAACACATATCCAGCTGTGAGTGTGTATACCCGTGTCAGTTCACTTGTGGGGAAGAGTTTGCAAAGCATGTGTGTATTTGTGCAGCTGTATCTGTGAGTTAGCAAAGCTCTGACAGCAAACAAGACACATAAGTATTTAGAGTTTAACAGCTACAAAATTTAATTTTGAAATTCAAAGCAGCATTGAAAGGCAGTGAAATATTTTACTGTGAAAATATAATGATATAGTTTCTGAATGTATTTGTCTATTCTGTCCTGGGTAGCCTGGTTCTTGCTATTTAAAAATTCCCAACTTGAGTTTCTGATTTTGAGTTTGACCAATTAAATCTGACGAATGTTCTGTTTTCATTTTTAGATTCAGATTTGACCAAGCAGCAGCCTCTGGGGCCAAAAAACGAAGCCATCTCTCAAGTGCTAAAGCTGCAGTTCCGCAAATGGCCACTAGAGGCTGGCTCCAAGAGCGAATCATAGACCTCCATGTTAAAATGCTCAAATTAACAGCAGAAATAAATATGTTTACAGCCTGGTACAAAAAGTAGTTTAGGTCTCTATAGCTAATTTCAACATTCATGACAACTGTACAGGGGGTGGATTTTTATAACTCACCGGTTTGCATTTTATTAAGACTTTAAGTTAAGCATTATTGAGGGCCTTCCCTTCCTTCACCAAAGCTCCACCCTTCATCCAAATATGGTCAGTTCTGGCTCAAAAAACAAAATGGCAACAGCTGAAATGCCGAACTGGAGGCTGCAAAACGTTGGTCCACAAACTAATGGGTGACATCATGATAGCTACATCCCTTTTTTTTTGTGTGTATTCGTGAATGATGTTCTATTTTATTTTATTTAATTTTTAGATTTGAATTTGACTGTTGAATATCTAAAACTCATTTTTTGTATCTAAACTTGTAACACTGAAAAAAAAAAAAATGAATTAAAATTTATATTTTTAAATTGCAAATCAAGAACTCGCATATTTTAATTTTATAGAGGTGAACTCAGAACAGCTAAATTTAGACCCATGGTTTTCTATGTAAAATATATTAATGCTTTTTGTTGCTACTTTAAATTTTAATATGAAATGTTGCTGTTTAAAAAAAAAAAAAAATCAAATACTTTTGTCTCCTATTTGCTTCCATACAGAGCCCCAGTGTAGACCATAAGGCCACCGTCCAGGTCTCTGCCTTGGATGCTAATTAGATACCCGCAAACCTTCCAAATACCCAGAGAGCAAAAGAGGGGAAAAGTACATTTAAAGAGCAGAAGGAGAGGTCGAATAACAAGACAAAGCAAAAAACACTTCTCCAGGCAGAACTGTGACGCACAAAAGGACACACAATCTCCTCTCAAATGACCTTTTATTGCTGGGGAAGGATACAGAGTTGGCAGGCCCCTGAGCCTGTGTGCAGATATGTAACAGCAGTAGGACCATCCTCCTCTCTGCCAAGTGGAGGCAGGGACTCACTCTTCACCATCAATCAATAGCCACTGTCGCAGAGGAGGGCAGAGCAGAGCTAACGAGTCCATTAGAAAAAATACCATAGGATGGAACACAATCATTTCATTAGGTTGAAATGAATCCAGCTGATGAATAATTTCTGGTATAATATGATGATGATAACTCATTTGTGTCCCTCTGTCTGTGCTTCAGTGAGGTCAAAATCTGAAGTGACAAATTACAGCAAAAGAAAGCACAAAGCAGGAGCACTCATCACACACTGTATGTTTACAACTGTAAGCATAAGAAATATATTGAACTTAATATAAGTTGCAGCAGTTCCTTTATGTTCCAGCTCAGCACAGCGGTATGGGGAGGTTGGATTTAGCCGACGGTAATTTGGTGCTGTCATCCATATGTGGCAGTGAGTAATGATGAAATTTTCTTGAAATAACTGAAACACAGGCACCCATTTTCCAAGCACCAGTCTCTGGAAATATAACCCACATTTCTAACTTTGGTGTAAGTAATAGCACTGCTCCGTGACTAAAGGATTTTGGTCCTGTTTTGTGTGTGTTTGTGTGTGAGTGAGCGTGTTTGTAAGTAGATGTGTCAGAGGGCTATTACGGTCGGTTAGAGCCGCTCTTACTTGATGTCACATCTCCCATCTGCGGGCGTTTTACAGTGGCCGCTTTGCCCTCAGCTCAGTGGATGCACACAATGGTGCAAACAACCGCGGGCAGGAAACACGCCTGCAGGAGATTCTGCGTCCAATAGCTGTGTGCATTTCCTCGTCTACTCGCTGCACTGGCTCGCAGTCACAGCTGTGCTATTGATGTGACCCTAACAAGCTGAGTGCATCTCTGTCCTGAAGCACATCCTGACCACTACCTCGGCCTGGCTGGTGAATGATGCGAGGAAAACAAAAATCCATTCTCAAGCACAACAACATCCCCTTTAATACCACTGTATGTCAACTTAAAGAGATAGTTTGACATTTTAGGAAAAATGCTTTTTCACTTTTGAAATGAGCAGATTATTGCCACTCTACGGTCTGTATGTTGAAACCACAGCCAGTAGCCTGTTAGCTTAGCTTAGCATTATAGCTAGGCCTAACAATTGCCCAGCTAAATGCAGGGCATGCATTATAAGTTTTATAAATTACACATTCAGAATTCAAAAACTGAAATAAAATGGGGCAGGGTGGTCTAGATTTAGTTACTATATAGTAAAAGTGAGTGACTTCGGACACAGACATGACAGTTCTGCTGTCATCAGCTATGTTTCTAGTCAAGGGAATATTAAACAAACTTTTGAAATCTTGCGAAAACAGAAATGTGAATTAGATGCATTTCCATCGGAGTGACCATCGGTTTGGAGCAAATACACTAGGCTCTGTTAAAGGCGCTGTATGTAAGAATGTGGCCAAAACGGTTACTGCACTCAAATTCAAAATACTGCTGCGAGTTGTGTCCGCCCCCCCTTCCCTACAGATTCTAGGTTGCTGTACAGCGGCACGCTGGAGACTGATTTGTTTGCCCACGGGCGGCTGCCGTGGCAGGGCCGCGTCGCCGCGTCCTTGATCTTCGGTTTTCCAGGGGACCGTTCAAGCAAGTCCGGCTTCTCTGCTGCTAATGCTGCTGCCGGGATACAGCTGAGGAGACTGTTAATGTTATGTACCGGGACACTGCTAACGCTGCTGCCAGGATACAGCTGAGGAGGAGCCAGCTGCTAATGCTATGTACTGGGACTCTGCTAATGCTGCTTGCCGTGCTGCTGTAGCTCAGTCATAACTGTACCTGATGCTGAGACTCTACTGACTGTGTGACTGGTAGACGGTGGTGGGTGGTGCAACAGGCCAAAACACAAATTCAAAACATAAACATGATTTGCCGACCGTGAAAAAAATTTAAAATGCGAATATTCTGGCTGTACTATTGTTGTCGGTGAGATCAGTATGTTATATTAACATTATTCCTTAGTCTCTGTGACATATTAGGATGATTTTACAACTATTTGCTTTAGATTTCTTACATATAGCTCCTTTAAGCCTAGTTTTATCAGAAGTTGTCGGTATAGGCTACATTTTACGCATGGCTGTGATCCACCAGGTTATGCAAAGTGTAGGTGTGTTAAAAGGTGGCGAATAGGCTGTTTTACGCTTTAACTGTAATCCGGTTAAGAGCTAACCTGATGGAGAATTGGGACACCACTTCCCCTCATGTGAACGTGCAAAACCAAGGGGAAGGACCAAGACAAGGGCTAAGGGGAAGAAATGGAATTGGTCCTAGGTCTGTAAGGGCTTAGGGCTTGAGTCAACGAGTCTGTAAGGGATCCATTTGGGATTGGGGGACTGTGAAATGGATCTGTCATCCATTTCCATTCATCATCTGTCTGGCAAAGAGGTCATGGTTGGGGTTAGCACTAGCCAATCACAGCACAGTGGGGCAGGACTAGATGGAAAAAACAAACAAAATCTGTTCTGGCATGTACACTACTTTGTGCTAACAATCCCACATTGCATTGTGGGATTGTATTGATGCAAAATATATCTATGTGCTCACAGTTGGGTGACTGTTTCTGTTTCCAGGCTTTATGCTAAGCTAAGCTAACAAGCTACTGGCTGTAACCTCAGTGTACAGACATGGAAGTCTTAGTCTTTGCATGAAAGTTAACAAGCTTCCTTCCCAAAGCGTCTCTTTTAAATTTCAGATTTTTAGTTAGTGTCAGTAATGTAGCGTTAGTGAGAGCAGAGCACTTCTTTGAAGCTTTTACCCAGTACTCAGAGCTGATTTGTGAGTCGATTATGGAGGCAGAGCTGATGCCTTTGTCTCTGTGTGTTTGAGCACATACATACATGTGCCTAAATAGGCTACGGTCTGAGTTTGCAGTGTGGGCGTGTAAAAAGTGCAGAATATTGAAATTCAGGTCATCCATTTAGTACATTATTGAAGCCCAGCATATTCAGCTGCTTTACATCACCTCAGAGTGCCAGTATAGAGCAGAAACTGTCAATTCTGAGAGTTTTCAGAGCCAGGTGTTTGCCATGTGTGCCGCACACAGGAACAGCAACTATGTACATGTTTATTACTTGTCATTCCATCTGTGTCACTGTGCTGACATGTATTAGGGCAACCAGCTATCCTATTTCCAGGCTCCAGCCTCATCCTTGCCTGTGGCATAACATGGCCTAATCAGCTTGCTCGGCAGAATGTAATACACACTCACAGCTGAGACTAGCCCATATATGCATGTTTTGTATGTAGATATAGATGAGTTTACCACACAGACCTCAATAAACATGCACATTATGCAATGCATTTTGTATATACTGAAGGAACCCATGCAAATATTACACTCAAAGTCATGTGAGAGCAACCAAATGTGGGCATCTTACAGGTACAGTACATGGGTCACTATCTTGGGTTGGCATCCAGTAACGAATGCCATGCCAGTAAGTTTAGGTTCATACATGCATAGTTATGCATACTGCCATGAGTCAACCTCACTCCCTTATATGATGAGGGAGTGCAAGCAAACCCACAAGATTCACTCCTGACTGTCTTTTATCAGTGGTGGAAATGGAATTGGGAAAACTTGGACCAAGACTTCCTTTTTCTAACACCACATTTTCACTAACTGCAAAACATTTTGACTTTTCAATGCAGGAAAAGCAGAAATGTAATTTATAACATCAATAATGCATGAGACCAGGGCCCTGAAACCTGAACACCATAATGGAATGCAGTCAACATTTTGATTATTTAAGGGAAACTTGTGTATTTTTCAACCTGGACCCAATTTTCCCCGATTTTTGGGTCTAAGTGACTATTGGAGACAACAGTATTTGAAATTGGTCCAGTAATGAGAGAGAGGGCTACAGCCACAGTGACTAAACAGACTGCAATGTAATCCCACTGGGCAATTGTGCATCCTCAAGTTATGTCCACTAAAACTGTTTGTTTTTGTCACAGACAAGCTCAGATTGTTATTATAAGTGACTTGACAACATTACGGAAAGGACCCTACTGAAAAATAAAGTACTTTCCTTACCCTTTGCTGGACTATTTGTTACTGTGACCAAGTCTTGTTCTGAAATGTCGCGAGAGGTAACTTGTTGCAGGAATTACAACAATGGAAGCGTTAGGGAGAGTTGTGGAAAGAAGTGCCAGGAAGAGTTTGTAGTGTTACAGAAAGCACTAACAGATTTTCAGTGTCATGGCTGTACATTTGGCTGATTTTGGCAATGTTTAAAAGTCTGCAAGGTTTCAGAGCGAAACTTCTCCAAGCGAGGCTTGGTTACTCACACTCGACTAGTGAAAGGTATGGAAAAAAGGTTGAGCAAATGTGCACTGTGACTTTCAACACTTTTTGACGCCAACCTTGTCACAAATTGCCGATTGGTTGTGGACTTTCCATGTCTACATTTGACGTGTAGCCTGGGTGCATCTGTTGTTGACGTTCTGGGATGCTGTGTAAACTTCAGCCTGTTACATGCATTGTGTCTCTTTAAAATGCACTTCCATGTTCACAGGAAATGTAAAGCTTGAATACAGTCTCTTTCAAAATAAACACACAATGTCAATACAACACTGTGAAATGACGTTGTTTTCCCTCAACAACAAACGTGGTTACGTTTAGCCAACACACGCACATGGTTAGGTTTAGATAAAAATAACAGGGTTTGGCTTTACATTCATAGCGAACACCTGCCTCCCGGGTGAAAGTCCTGCCCGCCCTACTAGGGCTTTTCACCCCCTCAACTTATGTTGTTGTCCAGCCACGTCCCAGACTTTTCCACATTGTTAGTTAAATATTGAATATTTAAATATTCAGTCATGATGCTGAAAATCTTCTAACACTAAGTTAAGCTTTCTGTACCCCAACACAATTAACTCTCTCCAACTCTCACGAACGCTTCCACCGTTGTTTTTCATGCAACAAGTCTAAAGACGTCTCATTGAGTGCGACTTGGTTGCAATAACAAACAGAGGTATGGAAAATCATTCCATTTCTCAGACAGGTCCATAATCTTGTCAGACACTTCTAATAACAATATACTGCTGATGCACAATTGCCCATAGGGATTACAATGCATTTTCATAAACTGTTGTTCACTTTCGTCAGTTAGACACATAAAACATGGCAAAATGGGGTCCATATTGAAAAACATGAAGTTTCCCTTTTAATTACATCTGTGCTTATCATGCCATGATAAAAAAATTACTTAGCATTTGACTCCCATCCATAACCAGCATGTTTATACTGTAGAGTGCACTTCTATTATACTGTTAGTTAAACCAGTAACTTTGTATTTGTAGTTCATTTTGGCCAGCTCCCAACAATATGCACATGGGAGTGCCAGTAGATGTGTGAAGAAATGTTTCTCAGTCGTACTTCAGGTCACATTACAGAAAGACGACAGATTGTGTGGAGACAGAGCGCAGATTAACCACTCTGTCTTCACCACATTTTATAACAAGTAAAAGTTGAATAATGCCAAGATAACTTGTCATTGTGGAAAAAGCACAATTTGTAGTAACAATATTAGCTCAGTTTTATTCATGTGTCCCAGTAAGCCATGATAGTGTAGCTGCATGCAAGATACCCAAACCCTGAAACTGAAGCAGCTAAATGGAACTCAGCCATCATTCATTTTATTAATGATGATAAGTTGTTTGTGCTTTTCTCACTGTGTTATCAGAATGCCCTCTTGCCTTAATGGCGCAGCTGCAATATATCACCATTATTCAGTAACTTTCATACATCCAAAGATTTGAACCCAAACACTTTCATAATAAAACTTTTATAAAGTAAAATCTGCACAGCATAAAATGAGGGGGAAAAACAGCTGGTCCAAACATCATGAAAGGATGCCCCTCCTCCCAGGTCCCTCAAAAGGTCAATTTTGTTCTTAGATCAGGAAAATAATTCTGAGACACAACAGATTTTACATTTACAGCACACATACCGAGCACGCCATATCACAGCAGCTATTTCCCGAGTCCAGCAAGCTCCATCCTAAATTCATAACAGTCATTGTCAGGGTCCATGAAGTGGTACAGCCAGATAAGCAAAAATATGGAAGTGGTCATTCTGTGCTAAGTTTTTGAAACTGGAGACAAAAGCTGAAACAAAGCAGGTGTTCATATTTACCACTGAGGGCAGAAATGATTGTTTCCTGTTTTACCTGATGGCATCAGCTGTCTTATTGCTGTAAAAATATAGATTCGTTAAACACCAGGTTTTTTTAAGAAATTATTTGGTCTGTTGTCAGGTTTATGTATTCTAATAACAAACAAAATCCATCCAAATGAGTCAAGTAATGTTAATTACTGCAAGAGGGGGACAGTGTGGGTTTTCTCCAGGTCCTCCAGCATCCTCCCACAGTCCAAAGACAGGCACGTTAGGTCAATTGGGGACTCAAAAATTGCCCATAGGTGTGAATGTGAGTGCGAATGGTTGTCCGTCTCTATGTGTCAGCCCTGTGATAGTCTGGCGGCCTGTCCGGGGTGTACCCTGCCTCTCGCTCAGTGTCAGCAGGCATTGGCTCCAGCCCCCCCCCCCATGATCCTGTATCAGGATAGAGCTAGACTTGACTTAACTGAATAGAAATTTATATGTTATTTAAGTACACAAACCTGGCAATAGACCACATAATTTCTCATGTAAATAAAAGACTGAGAAATTAGGAGCACAGATGTTTTTAAAGAACGAGTCTAAAATGATTACACTGTATGTAAATCCTGTTTCCTTCCTTTAATGAATAGTATTAGCTTGTACACACCTCATAAGGCTTTTTGGTGCATCAACAGTGCATGCAGAAACAGATAGGACACTGCACTCAAACCAGTTACCCAACAAAGAGAGGATGAAGTAGAAATCAATTATCACACTCTCGTGTTTACTTGCCATCCAGCAGGGCCCGCTGCCAAACAGTCCTCAGCAGTTGGCACACGCCAACTTTCAACTTCACAAACAGATCTTCAACACAAAATGCCTCAACTGCAGTTTGTTTCTGGGCTAATAGATGAGGGGAGGTGAACTATCAGCACAGAACCACACACCACTGGACCAAAGATGGACACGCTCACATCTGCAAAAGCTGAATGCAACCTGCAGCTGCATGGTACACACACTAGTGCGTACATTTATTCATCTACACTGACATAAATGCATTCTATGAGTGCATTTAATCCTCTCGTTTTATACCTATGAGTAGAATGACCACACCAGTTTAAATTTCCCGTAGAGGCTGTGAAGCTGAGTCACAATCTTCTTGCTATGCTTGTTGCCATTATGGAGGTCCACTGGTAAATATACTGAGCACAAACAATATTATTCGATTAGAGAGGGACTCTTATTGTAAATAGTAGCATGTGTATATATTTAACGTGTATATACATAATGTATAATATGACATGTTTGTTCCCAGTAGTTAAAATTATGAACGTCTGAGCTCGACTTTGATGAGTACTGCTGCTCCTTTGTTGGTTACAGCTGGACCCAGATGGTTGTCAAAGGAATAGTTGGACATTTTGGGAAATACTCTTCATATGTGGTATTGCCAGAGCTAGATGAGAAGATTGATACCACTCTCATATTTGTCTGTTAATTATAAAGCTACAGTCTGCAGCCAGTTAGCTTAGCTTAGCTTATCTTAGCATCAAGACTGGAAATAGGCAGCCCAGTCATCAGAAGAAAATGTTGGCATTGTATGTTTCTGCAAACCATAAATATGTTACATTTGTACAGTTCAAATGAAGCATATCAACATGTCTAAAGTGACGTAGTGCATGAGCTGACGAGACCAACAAACAACAAAAATGAGTCATTATTGTCATTGTAGCTGCTTTTTTGTCACCAAATGTGGGTATTTTTTAGCAATGCATCACTGTGGTTCCTGCTGGGATAAAGTCACAAAAAGCAGACTTTTGTTGACACACAACACTGTGTTTCCTGTCTGAATATGGCAAGGAAAAGCAGTTGTCTTTTTTACAGACATCGCTGCTTTCTTTGCTGGGATAGTGCCACAAAGCGCGGTTGTTTTTTACTGTGACAACGATGCGTTGCAAGCCAAGCTAAAACATGATCTTTTCCAAAACATAACTAGTGTTTTTTTATACCAAAACCTAAGCACAGGGTTGTGGAAACATACATTTTTAACATATCCACTAGAAATAATGTGCAAATGCAACATAACTGTGGTTTGCAAAAACATACAATGTCAACATTTTTTCTGACGATTGGGTCGGAAATCATGATGGTCTGAGCTGGACTTTGATTAATACTGCTGCTCCTTTGTTGGACATTTTGGGAATACTCTTGTAAGCTGTATTACCAAGATTAAGATGAGGAGATTGATACCACTCGCCCTATCAAATATAAAGCCATAGGCTGCAGCTGCTTAGCTTAAGATAAAGCCTGGTAATAAAGGAAATAGCTATGTGTATGTGTTTGCATACATGGTCAGTAATACTCAATGATTAGGGACCTCCACAATGGCAGCCAGAGTGTGTGTTACATCACCTGAAAGCCCACTACAAATGAGAAGAATGGCATCCCACATTTCTGTTGAATCCTCTCTTTTCTCTTTCAGAGCCGAGCCTGTTGAACAGACTCACTTTGACTGGAGTGTAATTAGACTTCACAGACAGTCCTGGAAGTTGACAGGAGGCACTGTAGGAATCCACAATGGGCAGAGTGGGATTAAACATTTTAAACAGTATGTGACGTTTTCAAATTCCCGTTGCCATGGTCACTCCTGGCATGCGACGTGTGACCCGTCTCACCGGACTCCTCCTCGTCATCCGGATCCAGCTGTTCGTCTTTCTTCTTGATGTAGCGCTCATAGAGCACCATAATGATGCCCATCACCCAGGCCGACACGGTGCCAGCGGCGAAGATGACAAAGCCGATGAGGACAAAGAAAAGGTAGTCCCAGGAGCCCAGAGTCTGGTGACACAACGTCCGTAGCTGGATGCCCACCTCACCCATGCGACGGCCCTGCATGTCAGCAGGTGAGCCACACACCGTCTGGCCCTCATCTGTCACACAGACACACATCAAGAAGGGGTGATTAAGGATTATTCATAGCTCAGAGGAATACATCAGCTTATGTGGTGAGGAAATAGCTTGTAAAAATTGTGAGATGAAAGCACATTTTCCCCCTTTTCTCATACATAAAATTTCCAGGCACAAACAGGTCAGCTGTCCTGGAATGGCATGATTCAGACTATTGAGTCATCTTGTTTTGGACTGTATGTGCAGGGTTTGCATTTCTTTGTGACATTAATCCAGGATAGTGACATTCTTAATACACACAAAGTCCTTTGACGGTAGCAAGTAAATCTGTCTATAAAATACTGCTTTTGTTTTGTGAACCACATACATGAATAATTAATTGTAAAGCTCCTGACAAATTGGTTAAAAAAAATCTTTACTTTTCTATAACATTAAATATTCATGACTAAAAAAGCAACTGTCTAAATTGGAAATGTGATCTGAAATTTAGGTATTATTTAATTAAGTTCCCATGAAAACTTCTAGCATAGGGCAATTGGATTTTACATATTTGCCACAGACAAAATATTGGACGTAGCAATCATGATGTCACCCTTTGGTCTGTGGATGTCTTGAAGCCTCAAGTTTGGCATTTTGGTTGTTGCCATCTTGGTTTTTAGGAGCCAGAAGTGACCATACTTGGGTGAGAGGTTGGTGCTGTGGAGTAGTGAGGGGTGGATCCAGTGGCGTAAGGTCGTTACAACAGGCCCCAGTGCACACTATCATGACAGGCCCTAAGGCACCCTAGATACTAGTTATGATAAATGGTAAATGGACCTGCACTTGTATAGCGCCTTTCTAGTCCTCTGACCACTCAAAGTGCTTTTACACTACGAGTCACATTCACTTATTCACACACATTCATACACTGGTGGCCGAGGCTAACATACAAGGTGCCACCTGCTACACAGCTTTAACACACTCACACAGCAATGGAGCAGCCATTGGGAGCAATTTAGGGTGCAGTATCTTGCTCAAGGATACTTCGACATGCAGACTGGAGGAGCCGGGGATCGAACCACAGCCGCAATTATGCGCCTAAACTAGCTACAGTATAATCATCTCATCACATGATCAAATAGAGACTTGACATCTGATAACACCAACATACATATTACCCAGTAATCATCATCACATATATATGACAAAAATACCAACGGAAATAAGAGATAATTCATTTAATTGTATAGTTTTTTTATACTGTATTTATAGTTCATGGAGAGTAGGCATGTATTTTATAATATATTTTATTATAGATTGCTACCAGCTATTCTACAAAAAAAAAGAAAGGAAAAACATGATGGAGATGGGTTTGCCTTTTTTTAAAGGGACATATAGCAAATGGCAAACAGAGTTTTTCTTTGAACATGGGCATATTTCTAAGGTAGCAGGGCCCTTTTTTGACCGATATACTGTATAGTTGGAGGGCACAGTCTCTCTATCAGGCATGGTAACATGGGCATCTATGGGGATTGACTCGCTACTGGAGCCAGCCTCAAGTGAACTGTGGTTTTTGGCACACCCATTTTTCAGCCACAGAGGTTGCTGCTAAGACATTTGCGTGTTTCCTGTAAAAAACTAAAAATACTGATTGGTGTTTACAGTAGCCACCTTTCAGACTGACAGTAGCTACTAGATCAGCACTGAGAACAGCCATGAGGACAGCCCCTCACTGTTAGTCAAGGACTTCTCACCATCACTGTTGCCTATGCCTGCGGATTCTACTCAGTTATTGGACAGGGATGAAATGGAGGAAGATGACGACCGTGATTTTTTTTGTTCTAGGAGTGAGATATGTGAGATATATGATAGGCTAGTGTCCATTTTATTAAATAACACGTTAACTTAGTTAATCACAGAAAAAATAACGGCTAAAAAAATTACTGTTGATTAATCACGTGTTGTTGTACCCTTTGACCTGGTGCGTCATTGAAGGCCACAGTGGCTATATCATATGATGGACACAGACAAGACGACGCTGTCTGGAGCCCTGAATGGAACAATGACACTTAAAAAACACCCAGATGGAACTGTTGATAGGAGCACTGTTCTTTGCAATTTCTGCAGTAAGGAATTTTCGTACCATCAGAGAACTGCAAGCCTGAAATATCAACTCAACATAAAGCATTTAACAGCGAACCCGGAGGTCTGAGCTAGCTTAGCCTCTGATGCTAGCGGTAGCAGCCAGCCTCGTCAAGCCACTCTCAACCAGGCGTTCAAACTGAGTAAGTCTACCTGTAACTGCCTTACAAAATGGATTGCAACGAACCGCAGAGCAGTTTCGGTGTGTTCAAAATCCAGCAGCTTTACTGCGACACATCTGTAAAAATTCATTTGAATTGAATTTTTTAAAAATACCTTCACAGTAAAAGTTGATGTATGCAATTAATTTAGATTAGTTAATCACAGAACATGTAATTAATTAGATTAATTTTTAAAATACTGGCCTATAGGTGACCTTTAGCACAAGACATATGTGATATATATATTTTTTTAAATTGATTTTATGGGAGCTTTAAGATTTTAATATTCAAAAACCGAGCTAATCTGCTTCATCAGGTCTTTGATGGACACTGAAGGCAACACAAACTCACAAGTAATATTATTTTAGGATTCGAATATTGTGACATCATCTTGTTCCAATTGAATCCCACCCACCTCAAAGCAGTGAGAAAACTAATAAAAACACAAATTACAGAAATCTTTCGTGTGAAATAATTAAAATTGTTTTGACTTTGGATGCAAATAATGTTATCATAAAGGACCCCATCACTCAGAGTAAGAAGCTGATTGAAAAAACATATTTTCAGGGCCTTTAAAGTGCATTTAACTGCTGATCTGCTTTAAAAATATCAAGTAACTTTACTTACATACGGCAAACATACACACAGCTTTGGCATATAATCATCATAAATATTTATCATCACTTAAATGATCCTTTGATGCTGGGAGAGTCATAACAAAACGCACAAGTAGCATAGCAGAGAAAATATACATACGGCATTAAATCGAGGAGCCTGTTAAATAATTCATATATTACTTTATATCGTTTTGCATAACATTTGTACATGTCAGCAAACAGAGCTGAAGATATCTGGGGCATATTCAATCTCAGACAGCTAAAAAATGTAAATACAGAAAACTGCAGCAGCATAACAACGGTGCCTTCTTTATCAGAAGACTACAAGGCTTTAGGAGCTTCACGTGTGGAGTCTTGAGTTGGTGCAGCATTGAATTACCAAAAAAAAAATCATGGATGAATTATTCAAACTCCTTTTTCCCTCACAGGATTAGAGAGTGACTTGGGCCTTTGTGTCTGCCTGAAACCACTGATAATAAGGTTTGTCATCATCAAGCGCCGGGTATGACTATGACTAAGACCTCACTGAAATCCACAAATCCCAATAAAAATGTTGAGTTCCCTGTCTTTCAGAAAACTACAGTAGATGAATGCAATTTTAAAAAGACCTATCAGTCAAATGCGCCGCATGACGGACGTTGAGCTCCGCAGCAGCTGACAAGAAGCATTTTTCAGAAAATAATCCTAAAGCCTGCTTGAATCTTTTGTGACTGCGAGCAGAAAAACAGCACAACACAACAGAGTGTTTCCATCTCCATACGGCCACTGTTTTTAATTGGCTTCTGTTTTTTTCAAAGCCTTTGCACAAGGGGGAAGTCCCACTGGGAGAGATCAAAAGACTTGGAAGTTCCTGCACAGGGAACAGTTTTCTGTAACCCTATTTCTTCACCAACAGCCTTAAATTATGCATCCTCTTTTTGCTGGTGTTTTTGCTGTGAAATAAATGCAATTCTTGCATATACACAGACCTTAAGGATACAGGGAAATCTGTAGGATCTGCATTGAGATGTGCTGCTTTGACTGTCTGCACCCTGCAAGATATTTTGGGAAAAGCTGGACCATGACAGAATAATTGCATAATTATTGTATTATGTATTTAAAATCTCACATGAATAATTCATTGATATTGTAGTGGTGTTATAGATATGTTGTTGTTGTTCTTGTTGTTGTTGTTCTTGTTGTTTTTCTCACCCTCCTAGAGCTTGATGTTAACGGCATAGAATTAATCAAATGTTTGATGATGAATTCAAGTAGACTTTCAAAGACTTCCCATCATGTTCCAAGTAAACGTACTACATTGGAACTGAAGAATTTAGAACTGAAGAAGCTTCCTGGATGAGAGGCAAAACATCTTCAAGAAACGCAAGCAAGTCCCATTGCCTACGATATAGCACTTACGATTACCATGACCTGGATGACTGAGAATCTTCACCGACATCGGAGCAACACTGCAAATTGACGTTATTGTCCTTCAACAACAAACACAGGTGGCTAGGCTGGTGATGCGGCTTTCCAATGTGGAAAGATGAGAAATGGAGGCGAACAACGACTGTTCTTCACGCAGAAAAATTAATAAGTAATCACAGAAAATATTCGGTGTCAGATTTTTTATCATTATGGATTTATTTTACAAAGTCTCTAAAAAGACACCGCAGTTCAAGGCTGGATTACAAAGCCTCTGAAAGGGATACAATCGCACTGGAGCCTTCGTTTGAACTGCACAAAGGTCAACATTAGCTTATAGGCAAAATTAAGTAAGACTTTCTCATGCAGCATTCCAGAGATATTTAACATAGTAACGTTATGTCATGTACGACATTGTCAACCCCAGACTTAACTTCTATAGTGTCCAGTATGTCCAGCCCGTTCTCACTCCCAACTTGTCGAATATTGCCACTTTGTCGGTGATTTCAGAGACAGAGAGCAAAGCAGAGAAGCACCTTTTACAGCAGGATGATATGCACTGTGCACATCAGTTTGTAACACCACCAAAAACTACCATGATATATTGAGCAACAAAGCCCATACAGACTACATAGGTAGGAGTGGAGGTGGATGGGTCAAACAAACTCTGGACTTTCACCCAGGAGCTCGCTGGTTGTTTCCTGTGTGAATTTTCAGTCA